CGGTTCAACCCACAGCGCCATCCGCGTCCCTTATTATTGAATAGGATGTCGCTATTTTTCATCGGAGAAATGTTGGAGAGTATAGTCTTTGCTGGCTCAATCACACAAGCAGCATCTAATTCTGGCCTGGAGGACTGAGGAGAGAGGCCCCTTTTTTGCATAGTTACTTGGGAGAGCAACACTTCTTCCCGGCTCTCTTTTCCTTGGAACAGAACCAGAGCAGAGAGAGAGGGAAAAGCAGCCAAGGCCAAGCAATTTCTGGATGATGTCGCCTTCCCCTCTGATGTTCCGTCGATTGTCTCCGGTCGCCCGATTCTCGCACCAGAGTGTCGTGCCAGCCTGAGATTCTGGCCTAATTAGGGAGACGCAATCAAAGCCCTCGGCTCCAAGAGGGAGATGCTTTGGTGTTGCTGAGATACAGCAGACGGGCTTTGCGATGTCCGTGCATTGCTCCCGGAGCTGTCGCGTGACATGTGGCAAAACAGGCCTCCTTCGTACATGGCGCTCTCAAGAAACAAAAAACCGCGGATGCAAAAAATTGTGGAATACACAGAAATGGCAAAACTTACCGGAAGAATAAGAAATCAAGATAACAATGTTTTTAAAAATAAAAGAATAGAAATGGGTCATTGAATATTTACAGATAAATTTTAAACAGATAAAAAAACGTTGGCAGGGTTATTGTAATCACCTGCAGTTTCGTAAGAGTATATATCAAAAGAAGATGAATAAATGAGCAAATTAAGTTCATTTGGATATGCAGAAGATATTAAAAATAAATTTAAGGAACTGTAGAAAGAAGAGGAAGGAAGCCAAGTTTTTATTTTTCCATTTGTGTGTTTTGAACTAGTCACACCTTTATTTTTGTTTTCTCTTACATAAATATTTAGGTCAGATCCATCATTTCTCCTTGTTGCTCCTTTGAGTTAGGTTCTGTAATGGTTCTAGGGGTTGCTCATGCGTAAGCCTGTGCCAACACCTGGCTGGGTTGCCTAAGTGAACCTTTCCTGTCCGGACAGCCACTCACCCGTGGCTGTCTCAATCGCTGGCAGAATCCGTCAGTGGGCGTTTCTTAAACTTCTTCCAACAAAGAAGTTCTTTCACGCCCAGTCTCCTCCTACTCTCCCTGCGCGGAAGCCTTCTGTGCAAGGAGGGCATAGGCAGCGGAGGACCTCTACTCTCCCCGCTGGTCCCCGGCAAGGAGTCATGGGACCGCCTCTCTGATTCCCCCATCTGCCCCCCTTCTCCACTGGTGCTACGCTGATTCCCTTCCCCAGAAGATGGACTGCCTCTCCCAATCCCGGGACGCTCTCTGGGATCCCTCTGGAGCCCTCTCTTTCCCTCCGGCACTGATGGCAGTTCTCTGACAGGTTCTTCCAAAATGTGCTCTCCCAGCAAAAAAACACATGTACACAATCTGCTCCTTTGCAGATTGACACACCTTTGAAACCTCAAAATGATTGTAAAATTAGTGTAATGTATAAACTTGAAAAGTATAAATATATATATTTTTAAAAAGAAACAACAAACTGAACCATCACAGTAAACAGATAAACCCACCAGCGGCAAACTTTACAAAAGACCTGAACGATTTTAAATGCCATCAATTATTATTTTTTAAAGGACTTCTTCTGGGGTGTTATCCAACTAAATAATTGTGCCAGAGTAAGGATCAGTGTTAGTGCAATAGGACTCCCACCCAGGTGTCCTGTGCCATCCCCAAAGCTGTGCCAGAAGGCTGGGTGGGAAACCCAGCACAAATTCAGGGGGAGGAGAGTGTGGAAATACTCCATTGTGTAAGGAGAAATCCTTGTGCTGTTGGAACAGCGTACTTGTCGTTATAGTGAATACAATCCTTAGCGCTGATATAATCATAGCATGGAGTCAGGCCAGACTCTCTTGAGAGGGCATTTCACAACAGGAGCCACTACCAAAAAGGCCCTGTGTCCATTTGCCACCCAACACACCTCATTTGGGGGGGGGCACAGAAATTTACAGTGGTACCTCGGGTTAAGAACTTAATTCGTTCTGGAGGTCTGTTCTTAACCTGAAACTGTTCTTAACGTGAAGCACCACTTTAGCTAATGGGGCCTCCTGCTGCCGCCGCACCACCGGAGCACAATTTCTGTTCACACCCTGAAGCAAAGTTCTTAACCTGAGGTAATATTTCTGGGTTAGCAGAGTCTGTAACCTGAAGCGTATGTAACCTGAGGTACCACTGTACTTAATAAATTTGCAGTCCAATCCAATGGAGATATGTGTGTATCTACTCCCGGGCAGGGAAGGCAGAGGTGAAGTTGGCTGTGTGCCCTATCACACAAAGAACAGTTCTCTATCTGAAAGCATTCCATGTTTGAAGGGCTCTCCAGGTCTGGTTCCACCATACAGTGGTACCTCTGGTTACGAATGGGATCCGTTCCAGAGGCCCGTTCGCAACCTGAAAAGAACGCAACCTGCGTCTGTGAGTCTGTGCATGTGCGGGTCGTGATTCTCCGCTTCTGCACATGCACGTTTCGTCATTTCGCGCATCTGCGCATGCGCGAGTGGCGAAACCCAGAAGTAACCCTTTCCGGTACTTCTGGGTCGCCACGGGACGCAACCTGAAAATGCGCAACCTGAAGCAAACGTACCATGAGGTATGGCTGTACTTTTAAAGCCCTCTGATACTACTTTAAACAGTCATGGCCTCCCCCAAAGAATTAGGGGAGCTGTAGTTTGTGAAGAGTTATGGTGTTTTTTTAGGAGGCCCCTGTTCACAAAGCTTTATCCTGGCCTGGACCACCACAGAACAGGATGGTCTGTTTTGCCTCCGGGAATGCTGTTTGGGAGCCAGGAATAAACAGGAAGTCGCAGAAGCAAATAAGAAACTTTGGATTATGAATCCCAAGAGAAATACCTAAGTAGCATTCCTTGGTCATCCCTGCAGGGTGTTCCTGCTTGATGCAGCCACCATATTATAAACAGAGAAAAAGAACAAACACATCTGACCAATCCTGTCTCCTTTATGCTAGCACTGATCTTTGGTGTGTAAATTGTGTATTCATCTTTCTCCTAACCAGCAAGCTGAGGATGAAGTTTGGATTCTTCTGCATCTGTTGGTGGAATCACTTAGTAACAGACCTTCCTTTCCTTTCCTTTTTCCTTTCCCCTTTCCTTTCCTTTCCTTTCCCTTCCCTTCCCTTCCTTCCTTCCTTCTTTTTATATGTGTCAGGGACTGTGCTGAGGAGGAATGGTGGGAGCTTTCCCCCTCCCCCTGTTCCTGCTCCTGAATCTTCCCAGGAGCAGGAGGACAGTATAGATTTGGAACAGTGGTTTGCAGAGGGGCATAGTTCAGAAGGCAGAAGCTGGGAAATACTGGATGGGGAACAGCTAGGAGAAAAAACAGTGGAAGAGAGAGAGTTAACAGATTCACAGTCTCTGGGCAGCATTCACCCCCTTCTCCAAAGTCCCGGAGAACTCAGAAAGTGGCAGAACAGAAAGCACAGAGGGTAGTAACTCAGATTACAAGATGTAGAAGTGACGTAGATTAATAGGGACGGAAGGAAGGGTGTGATCCTTAATTGGGAGCACCGCCATTTCTAAGAGATGTGTTCTTTGTTCTCTCGCTGTGATTATGAAAGTTTCTAACTGGTAAGAAGACTCCTTTTCCTTTTTTCTGCTTATCTGCTGCTACGGGGGCAAGAAGCTGATTTCCTGAAGGCTGGCAATATGTTTCTATCATGTCACCTCTTACTCACATATTCTTTAAACTAAAAAGTCTCAAATGCTGCCACCTTGCCTCCTAGTGGAGTTGCTACGTTACGTGGTCCCATCAGTAGCATCCTTCAGACTCCCGGGTACCTAGGCTACTAGCCATCTTCCCCCCTCCCACAAGGCTCGACAGAGCCAGGGCAGAGAGCTTTGTTGTCGCTTGGGTGTGGCTTTGTGATCAACTCCAAATCATCACAACAGTGTCGTCGTGAAGCCAGATCAGAGTGAGGGCAATGTGCCCTGCCCTCGCTCTGGAGTCTTCTGCTTAGAAAAGAAGACCTAATAGCTGTGACAACCTATTATTATTATTATTATTATTATTATTATTATTATTATTATGTCTGACCAAACTGCGGGAGGCAGTGGAAGACAGGAGTGCCTGGCGTGCTCTGGTCCATGGGGTCACGAAGAGTCGGACACAACTAAACGACTAAACAACAAATTATTATTATTATTATTATTTTATTATTTGTACCCTGCCCATCTGGCTGGGTTTCCCCAGCCACTCTGGGCGGCTTCCAACAAAGAATAAAAATACATTAAAATGTCACACATTAAAAACTTCCCTGAACAGGGTTGCCTTCAGATGTCTTCTAAAAGTCAGATAGTTGTTTATTTCCTTGACATCTGATGGGAGGGTGTTCCACAGGGTGGGTGCCACTACCGAGAAGGCCCTCTGCCTGGTTCGCAGTAGCTTTGCTTCTCGCAATGAGGGAACCGCCAGAAGGCCCTCGGCGCTGGACCTCAGCATCCGGGCAGAACGATGGGGGTGGAGACACTCCTTCAGGTATACCAGTATAATGACCAACTTAGGTATAATGGCAACTTAGGGCTCTTCGATACTTGTCCCGTGATTTCTCAGCTCAAAGGTTTTTCTTTTCCCCAGGGAAAACCCGCAGTTGGCCGCAGAATTAGAACAAGTATCCGCTGGGTATTGCGCAGATTCACATTTGTTCCGATTCAGTGGTAAACAGAGGGTTTTCCCAGGGGGAAACTTCTTGAACCCGTATCTAGAAGAAATCACAGGACGAATGCAAGTGTGCATGAGCTCTTAAGTGGATTGTTCTCTGAACGGGAACTGTATTGCATCTCTCCCCCCCAATCCTGTTGTTGGTGGCATCTGTCTGTCTCGAGAGACGATGACCTCCATTTGTGTATGTCTGGGGTGCGGAGGGCAGGAATGGTTTGAAGGCAATTTAACCAAGCATGGAGACCTAACCCATTCCTTGCTCCCTCTCTGTGCTTTCCAGTTACTGCATCTACTTCCGCCTGACGCAGGTGAGCCCTGCCTGCCGCCTGCACTTCTGGAGCAGGCCGCTGGCGAGAGAGCGTCGTGTCTGCATCGAATGCCAAGGGAATGCCGTGGGCAGCAAGAAGCGGTGCCAAGGGGACGGTCTGCAGGGAGCCAGGTGTGTGGTTGCAGATTCCTTCAATAAACAAACCCCTGTGATCTTTGAGACAGCTTTACTTGATCCACAGCAACAGCAGCCGTTGGCGGAACCCACAAAAGTGGACTCTGCAGGCCTATAAATCACACAGGCTTATACAAAGGCTTTCTCTTGCCTTAGTTTTACACATGCATAGAAATTCTCAGAGGGAAAGCATGTCTGCATTGTCAGAGCTGGAAACCTGATCCAGCAAGAACAGTGTGCCAACTCTCTGCCAGGCTAGCTCGCGGCTGTGTTTTTCCTGTGCGTGCGCGTGCGCACACACACACACATATATATGTTGTTGTTTAGTCGTTTAGTCGTGTCCGGCTCTTCGTGACCCCATGGACCAGAGCACGCCAGGCACTCCTGTCTTCCACTGCCTCCCGCAGTTTGGTCAGGCTCATGTTGGTAGCTTCGAGAACACTGTCCAACCATCTGGTCCTCTGTCGTCCCCTTCTCCTTGTGCCCTCCATCTTTCCCAACATCAGGGTCTTTTCCAGGGAGTCTTCTCTTCTCATGAGGTGGCCAAAGTATTGGAGCCTCAGCTTCACGATCTGTCCTTCCAGTGAGCACTCAGGGCTGATTTCCTTAGGAATGGATAGGTTTGATCTTCTTGCAGTCCATGGGACTCTCAAGAGTCTCCTCCAGCACCATAATTCAAAAGCATCAATTCTTCAGCGATCAGCCTTCTTTATGGTCCAGCTCTCACTTCCATACATCACTACTGGGAAAACCATAGCTTTAACCGTACGGAGATATATATATATATATATATACACACACACACACACACACACACACACACACTTTTTACATTTCAAAATATTCATTTAAACAACCTTGAACCAGTGACTTCCCTTCTTCTCTTTCCTTGGTTCATTTTGCATACCAAACATCCCTGCATATTTTACATAAACTAAAACATTCAGTAAACCATTGTTACATCCATCAAAACTTATTTACACTGATGAATTTATCTTCAGGCTACCAACGTTTTTAAATGAACACAATTTTAACCCATATATTCAGTAAACATTTTCCAGTCTTCTTTCAACGTATTTTCTTCTTGTTCTCTTATTCTGTATGTTAAATCTGAAAGTTGTGCGTATTCCATCAGTTTAAGTCGCCATTCTTCTTTGGTTGGGACCTCACTCGTTTTCCATGTTGGGGCTAACAAAACACAGTAGTAGTATACCTAAATAACTTTTTTTGACACCTGGGAATTTCAGTCTGAATTATCCTCAACAGAAAGGACTCTGTTTTTTTGTGTGTGTTTTTAGGAAAGTATCTTTAAAACATTTTTTCCAATTCATTATATATCATTTCCCAATATTCTTTTACCCTTTTACAAGTCCACCACATATGATAAAACATACCCTCAACCTTGTTACATCTAAAGCACTTTTCTGATTTGGACTTATACATTTTAGCAAGTCTACTTGGAGTTAAATACTATCTGTAAATCATTTTCTGGTAGTTCTCCTTCAATTAATAACATGCTGTGAACTTCAGATCGCTCTTCCAAGGTTCCCCCCAGAGATTCAAATCTATATTATGTCCTGTATTGCCCAGTGTGTCATAGAAGCTTTAACAAGTTCGTCTTTTGTTTCCTAATCTAACACCAGATTGCACATTTAGATAACTATTATCCTGCACAAATATATAATTTCTGCTGTAGCTCTCTGAGGGGAATTTAGCCCGATTTAACAACTCTGTGGTGACTTTTTATACATATACATATGGCATGATTTTATTTCTTATATAAGTATTGAGGCACACAGTCACTCAGTGCTATCAGTATATTCTAATATCTGGCTCATTTAAGACTATATTTAAGTCTATCTTTATTCTCAACAATGGAATTCACAGGTGGAGAAATATTTTGATTTTCATAAATATTTATTATTTGTACAGTAAAGGGAATTTTGGGGTAAAAAGGGGGGAAACGCCATAAATAAGTCAGAAATTATATCATTTTAAAAAAAGATAATAAAAAACCCCTATGCAAAATCGCTTAGAAATATATCTTTGCTCTCCTGCGCCATCTGCTGTTGCATGTTTATAACGCATTCAAATCGCTGGTTGTTGTTGTTTTTTACTAATGTAGCTGAGTCCTTTGTGTGAGTTACTGCTTTATTACCCTTTGAAGCTGTGCTGTATCTTCGAACTTCTGTCCTTCCAGGCCATGAAACAATATGATTTGATTTACAGTAGAATCTCTACTTACGACTGCCCCTACTTGGGCCTGATCCAAGTCGCGACCACGGCAAACCCGGAAGTAAAAATTGGGTTTGCCGCAATTCACACACATGCAGAAGCGGTTTCTGCTGTTTGCGCATGCGCAGAAGCGGCTACCGCCGTCTGCACATGCGCAGAAGCGGCTACCGCCGTCTGCACATGCGCAGAAGCGCGCTGCCGCCAAATGCGCCTGTGCACAACGACGCTTCTACCAGCGACCCATTTCGCCTAAAGGATGGGCCGCCGGAACGGATTATGGTTGTTAAGTAGAGGTTCCACTGTATTTATTTATTTATTCGTTGTTTTCTTACTTTTTGTTATCTTTGCGCTTTACAGTGGTACCTCGGGTTACATACACTTCAGGTTACATACGCTTCAGGTTACAGTCACCGCTTACCCAGAAATAGTGCTTCAGGTTAAGAACTTTGCTTCAGGATGAGAACAGAAATCGTGCTCTGGCGGCGCGGCGGCAGCGGGAGGCCGCATTAGCTAAAGTGGTGCTTCAGGTTAAGAAAAGTTTCAGGTTAAGAACGGACCTCCGGAACAAATTAAGTACTTAACCCGAGGTACCGCTGTATTTATTTATATTGCTTTTTGTAACAAATAAAAAAAATAAAATTTAAAGGAAGGAACTGGAAACTGTACGTTGTCGACTCCATCCTATTTTCTGTCTTTCTCTAGAACATTCTGGACTGCGGCGTCCATTGCTGGCTGCCAAGGATCTTGGGTACAGGAGTCTCTACAGGAGAAATGTGTGTGCCCTCAACTCTCCTTTATCTTCATATGACGTTGTGTCGAGCTGAGTGGCAATCTTAAGAAAGAGAGGAAAGACCAAACATCAGCCGCAACTGTTTTGGGGTGTTTTCTTTTGGTAAAGAAGAGAGCTGAAGGAGTCAATGGCAACCCTCAAGCTACATTTTGCCAATCATTATGCACTCATTGTTTCCACTTGTTTTATACTGGACACCTGACCGTGTATTGTTTCCAAGCACAAGAACGTCTGATTCAATCTCCCTTTGTTAAAAAAAAGGAAAAAAGAACTGCATATACATATATACATTAAATACCTCTGAAAAAGGTATACTACCTCCACCATTGCCTCTAAAATGGAAAATGGCATATTTTGTCTGCTTTCCACAACGACTCCCACTTTATTTAAGACAGGGAACCTTTCCACACACACCCCAGCCCAAGAAACAGATTCCCTTCTGGCCAATGTTCCAGGAGTCAAATCTCCATTATGGGTAGAGCCAGGGTCAAAAGCGGGCAGAGCAAGAAATGTCAATTTTATATTCGCTCATTGTGGGAATGTTGTGAATACTAGGAGAGGATATATTGATGTAATACGGTGGTACCTCGGGTTACATACGCTTCAGGTTACAGACCCCGCTAACCCAGAAATAGTGCTTCAGGTTAAGAACTTTGCTTCAGGATGAGAACAGAAATCGTGCTCCGGCGGCACGGCAGCAGCAGGAGGCCCCATTAGCTAAAGTGGTGCTTCAGGTTAAGAACAGTTTCAGGTTAAGTACGGACCTCCGGAACGAATTAAGTACTTAACCCGAGGTACCACTGTAGTATCCTTCCTAACTCATGCTTGTGAGTTAGCAGCAGAGTACATTCCCCAATACAGTGGTACCTCGGGTTAAGTGTGTGTAAAGCAAGGTTGCTGAGGGAAGTGGCCTGGGGAGGTTCCCAGGGGCCAGGTAGAGAAGTGTTGAAGGGCCGCACTCGGCCCTATCCCGATTTAAGACAAGAAGCTACCAGCAGCTGCCTGCTTCTTCATTTCTTGAACCTTAAACACAAAGGGGGAGAGTTTATGTGTGGGAATGTAGGGGGACATATCTCCACCCCCTTTCAATTGATTTTTAAAATTAAGTTTTCAAAGATTTTAACAGACAATATACCATGTCTCTTATATTTTTCTTTTTGACTTCCCAGCCTCCCCTCCTTGATGTTTTTGTTCTTTTATTGTTGGTTGCTGCATTATACTTGTTACTAGGTTTAAAAATGCTGCTTTAAAAACCAGGACATTTTGTCAAATTTTATAAAAATTTTAAGCTTGACGAAGAGGATGTGTTCAGGGAAAACCCAACTTGTTACCAAACCCCCTAACACCATCCTTATCGGTATTTTTATTCCCCGCCTCCTGCCGTTCATATCTCAAATCTTGCTCACTATTTCATATCGCTATAATACTTCATCGGAAAGTCCCAAAAAAGGCCTCCAGTTTTCCATTAAAAGTTCATCATTTTTATGTCTTAGTTTTACAGTCCAGGGGATGTAGTTTGTACTTAACAAGACACATCAGAATTAACCGGACTTAAAGGGGTATGGCGCTAGGTGTGGTGAAAATGGTGCCTTCTTACACCCCCTGCTCCCCAGTCATTGGGCATGGGGTTGAAGCTAAAATTATTTATGGAATAAGGGCTAGAATCAATGGTGAAGTTTTTCACCTAGCAAAGGGGACGCGGGTGGCGCTGTGGGTAAAACCTCAGCGCCTAGGACTTGCCGATCGCATGGTCGGCGGTTCGAATCCCCGCGGCGGGGTGCACTCCCGTCGTTCGGTCCCAGCGCCTGCCAACCTAGCAGTTCGAAAGCACCTCCGGGTGCAAGTAGATAAATAGGGACCGCTTACCAGCGGGAAGGTAAACGGCGTTCCGTGTGCTGCGCTCGCTCGCCAGATGCAGCTTGTCACGCTGGCCAGATGACCCGGAAGTGTCTGCGGACAGCGCTGGCTCCTGGCCTATAGAGTGAGATGAGCGCACAACCCTAGAGTCTGGCAAGACTGGCCCGTACGGGCAGGGGTACCTTTACCTTTACTAAAGGGGTATGGCTGCAAATCACTAGCAGCACACCCCATACATACTACTGAAAAATACGCCCCATCGAGTTCAGTAAGGTTTACTTTCAGGCAAGGGACGTGGGTGGCGCTGTGGGTTAAACCACAGAGCTTAGGTCTTGCCGATCAGAAGGTTGGCAGTTCGAATCCCTGCAATGGGGTGAGCTCCCATTGCTTGGTCCCTGCTCCTGCCAACCTAGCAGTTCGAAAGCACGTCAAAGTGCAAGTAGATAAATAGGTACTGCTCCAGCGGAAGGTAAACGGCGTTTCCGTGCGCTGCTCTGGTTCGCCAGAAGCGGCTTAGTCATGCTGGCCACATGACCCGGAAGCTGTACGCTGGCTCCCTCAGCCAGTAAAGCGAAATGAGCGCTGCAACCCCAGAGTCGGTCACGACTGGACCGAATGGTCAGGGGTCTCTTTACCTTTAAGGGATGTCCGAGAATTCAGACAGCAATGAAAACGGAGATTGCCAGTGTTTGCCTCATATTTGCATTGTGTATCCTTTGCACTGAAATGAATGGAGCAGTATCACGTAATAGCCATGTAAATTTATGTAATTAACTTCGCAAATTATGCGAGGCGTGTAATTTTGCCACAGTGGACAGTGAGACAAATAACATTTTTTTAGCAGAAAGTGAATTGCAGCAAAACAAAAGCGCTAGGTGTGGTGAAAATGGTGCCTTCTTACACCCCCTGCTCCCCAGTCATTGGGCATGGGGTTGCAGCTAAAATTATTTATGGAATAAGGGCTAGAATCAATGATTAAGTTTCTCACCTAGCCTGTGGCGGTACTTGAATTTCCAAACACATTGAAAGAATGAAACATTGCCAAAGATGGCTATTTGGGGCACATTCCATTTTTGCATTGCTTCAGAAACTTGCAAATCCCATATGACCAGTGATTATCTTGGGACAAAATAATGAATATATGCAATCCTTGGGCAAGTGGTAGATTCACCATAATACCCCCAAGTGTGAAAAGAGTCTTTATAAATTCCAGCATACCCTGCTGGATATTACCATTAAAGCCCTGAATAACTTGGACCTGGGACACTTAAAGGGCTATTTTCTTCTACACATATATGTATTGTGTCCTTTAAAATATATATTTTAAAGTTAAACTAAATTTGAACTTCTAACCGAGTTCCCAGCTGCCCTGCAAAGCAGAAACTACTTGCAGAAACAGGGGCAAAACAAGGGAGGCAGAAATTTATCAAACATAGGAGCCATGAGCAAAGAAAAGCACAAGACTCTCTCTCGTGAGCAAAGCCTAATTTCCCTTCCCAAGGAGTCCAGAGCTTTTCCTTTGGTGTCAACTAAAAAGACGAGGGCGATATTGCAAATTAATTTGACACCTTCAAAGTCAGCTCAGCACATCTGAATAGCTGCAGCCATATCGGCAACGGGGAACAATGGAGCCGTGCTTCACAGGCAAATCCCTGGTGGCTGTGTGCAAAAGTTTGGCATGCTGTCTGCACATTCCCTCCCCGCAGTGTCACGGTGGAGCATGATTTGCAAAATGAAAGCTTAGTGTGACGTGTGCCCCTTACTCAGAGGTGTTACTGGATGAGAGAATGAAAGGACGGGGAGGGGGGTGGGGGGAGGGGGGAGATTGAACAGCTAGAAGGGCAGAGAGAAATGAAATGAAAATAAATCCCAGCTATTGATTATCGCTATTATGATTTACTAAATTTATTAGTTGCTTCTTCTTTTTTGCCATTGTTAAGTTGCGGGTGAACATATCAGACGACACAGCGATTCTTCAAAGAGCTCTTGTTTATTCACAGACCCAGAACAGAACTGAACTGAAGGGTTCAGCCAGCCTGCTTATATAGAGCTCCACTACAAGGCAACAGTAACAACTTTCTGCAACTATCCAATCATTGAACGTCACTTTCAATTCCTTATTTGCATATGTGGACCTGAGTGAAAACTACCTACAGTATCCCCCTGCTGGCCCAGGGTGAGAACTTCAGTACATAACAGCCATGGCGACTCAAAGAGACTTAAAATATTTTAAGTGAGAAGGAAACACACATTGAAACCAGCATCAGGGGCGTGGGGGACAAATCTGAAAGACAGTTCTGCATCAAAACATCCCACCCATTCAAAAAATGGTTGGGCCTGATTTCAAAGGACTGTTTTTGCCTGGTACCTAAAGATATGTAATTATGGCGCTCTGGGGAGGGCATTCCACAAGTGGGGAGCCACCACAGAAAAGGCCCATTCTTAGGTTGGAACTCTCCAGACCAGCCGTGGACAGGGTACACAAAGAAGGGCCTCAGGTGATGATTTCAGGGTCAGGGTCAGTTCATAAGTGGTCTTTGAGGTATTAGGGGCCTAAGCCATGTAAGACTTTATAGGTCAAAACCACTGGGTTGAATTGCAAATTATTTATTTCCCACTAAATACACCCAAGCTGCAAATCCCTAAATGGACTTCAGGGTAGCATACCAAGAACTTTTACAGGGACGTGGGTGGCACTGTGGTCTAAACCACTGAGTCTCTTGGGCTTGCCAATCAGAAGGTTGGCGGTTCAAATCCCCACGACGGGGTGAGCTCCCGTCGCTCTGCCCCAGGTCCTGGCAACCTAGCAGTTCGAAAGCATGTCAGGGCAAGTAGATAAGTAGGAGAACGTTGCTGTTCGCCAACTTCAACAATTCACCGTTTACGTGAATAAGGATGCTCTGAATCTGTAGAGTGTCTCTTTGACAAATGGCAGGATCAGGAGATGTGTGGTTGTCTAGGTGTGCCTGGACTTCAACTCCCATCATCCCTTGCTGTTGGGAGTTGTGTTCCATCAACATCTGGAGGGCAAAATAGGATACAGTCGTTCAGGTTCAGGGACCCCTGACCATTAGGTCCAGTCGTGACCAACTCTGGGGTTGCGGCGCTCATCTCATTTTATTGGCCGAAGGAGCCGGTGTACAGCTTCCGGGTCATGTAGCCAGCATGACTAAGCTGCTTCTAGCAAACCAGAGCAGCACACGGAAATGCCGTTTACCTTCCCGCCGGAGCCGTACCTATTTATCTACTTGTACTTTGACGTGCTTTTGAACTGCTAGGTTGGCAGGAGCCGGGACCGAGCAATGGGAGCTCACCCCGCCACGGGGATTCGAACTGTCGACCTTCTGATCGGCAAGTCCTGGTTTAACCCACAGCGCCACCCGGGATACAGTGGTACCTTGGGTTAAGTATTTAATTCGTTCCGGAGATCCATACTTAACCTGAAACTGTTCT